CAGGAATGTGAATGTTTGCCAAAAGAGCTGAGCAACTACAGAACTAGACATTGTGTGAGCAGCTTCAATTTCACACGTGATGTCTTTGGGATAGGTGTTTAGCATCTGACAATTGACTGCCTCCTCAACCATGGCCAGACCTAATTTATTATTAAAGACAAATGAAAGGACAGGGATTTTATTGAGAATAGAACGATCCTTTAGCCAATGTTATATTATTTTTGCAAGAGAAGATTGCATAGTCAGAATCAGACTTGGAAAATGGTGTGAATGCAATGCTGGGACATTTGCCTTGGATCCTCAGCAGAAGATTTGTGCTAGTAGTGCCAATTGAATCTTAGGAGAACAGTGATATAACCAAACAGAGGTTTAGAAAAGACAGATAACCTTCAGCAATCTCTTTCAGGTTTTAGAGGCTTTAGGAAAAGTTAAGGCACACCAGTCAGAGCTGTGCAATTTCCAGTACCAAAGTGGGATGGAAGGAGAAGCGCAGAAGCAGAGTATAATGGAGGTGAAGAGGATCAGCTTTCATAGTTTCTAATTCATTCATCCTCTTCCTTGATAAATTCACAGTGGCAGAAGTCCTTTTATAGCATCAGTCAGCAAAGTTCAGTGTGCAATGATAGCATCTGTTCATTTATCAGGTTACTCAGATTGTAAAGTAGAATATAAGAATGCTGTTGGAAACTGCCAAGGAGCTCACATGGACACAGCTAAGCCTCTGAAAATTTATTTCTAGACTAGTTTTGTCTTAGGACAAGACATCAATACCTTGAATATTCATTTACATTCTTAAAATGTGGAAGAATTTACTTATCTGCCTGTCAGGGCAGAGGGAATTCCCTTAAGAAACTGATTTTTGGGTTGCTTTGGCTATTGAGTAATGACATCTTCCAGGACCAGGAAGGGATTCAGCAAGGAAAAGCTCAATTAGGATTTGGGACTTTATACATACAAAGTTTATTCTTTTTCTGAGTGTCAATTTAAGAATAATTAAAGGAAAAAAGTGTAAGTTTATATATGATCTAGTCTGGCTCTTTACTTACATGAATAGAAGTTACTTTAAAAAAAAAGTTTGTTATGATTTCTAAGAGTACGTGTCATTAAGGTTTCATTGGTGTCATGGAAAAAGAATTCACCCAGCTTTCTCTGCACATTCACTGCAGAATGTCAATAGTGCATTAGTAGGTTCATACAAAGAGACAAGGTATGAAGGACAATACCTATGAGTGTCTCATGAGGACTGGTACTTAGGTCTGTATGCTCTCAGAAGCAGGCAAAGCTACATTTCAATTGAAAAAGGAAAAGTAGGACACAAGTAGGATGAATGTGTAATTGTACACATTACAAAGTTTTTGAAGGAGCTTAGTTATTCATTAAAAAACAGATTTAGAACAGATCTAGGGCATCTTCCCTGCAGGAGGTGACTGAAAGATAGTGTAATGCTGGAGCAGTGGATAATGCAGGCTGATACTAACTCTGTATTGCTCAGGGAAAACAAAAATGAATCCTCAGTAACCAAAAGTACTGATAGCTACCAAAAAATATTGGCACTGATGTGTAAGCATTCCCCATGGTGTAAAATTCTCCCAGAAAGGAGCAGTTTTATATTTTATCTGATGAACTGGAATGAATGGTTATGGAATTGGTACCTATAGCAAACGATGGAAAGGTTGGGGGAAAAAGCAAATGAGTGATTTACTGATACTTTCTGGTGGCAAGTATCCAGGACAAATGGTTTCTTTTGTAGGATGTTCAGTTCCTTGGTAGACTAAAGGAATTAAGGGAGAGATGTTTGTAAAGGAAGCTATAGCAGAGGGGTCAAGGTTCCTAATAAAAGGTACAGCAACTATAAGATGCTAGTAGTGGTCAGATATACACTGTGGCAAAAAAAATGGCTGGTGACTCAGTAACATTTTTCATTATGAAAACAGAAAAACTTGCTCCATTGTTCCTGGATAGTTCCAAAACGGGACAAAGAAACAATGTCCCAGCCCCAGTGAACCGCTTCCTTCACATTTTGCCCATGCTGTAGTATCAGAGTGCAGCACTTCCATACTCTATGCTGAGCACCGTGTGGGTCTTTGCAGGATTAACACCTCAAAAATCTAGGAAGTAATAATGTATAAAGAAATGTCATGGTCACAGTTGCAGCACTGTGTATGCAATATGATATTGGAGTAAAAATAGCTAATACAGTTTGGGGCTAAATTCTCACAGGTGTCTTGTCACAGAGAATATTATTTTCTGTAAAGCTGCAGTGTGATTATATTCAGAATGCTGCATTAAATGTAGGGCACCTCGTTGCCAGAAAAATATTGAAGAGATTTCAGAGAAGAGGATTAAAAACAATTAGGGAGGTGGAGGGATCATTTAGGTGGAAAGATTAGAAGAGTTAAATATGCATAGACTAGATGGCTGACAAAAGTCCACTAATAATGTAAAGGGTAAGAAAACACCGGAAGATAGAGATTATTTAGGATGTTAAATGGAATAATAGCATAAGATATGTTCCAATCTAAGTTCAATTACTCCTAGATACACCATATTTTACTAGACTAAATAATTCCCTGACAGTGATGTCTATTAGGCTGTCACAGGACTGGCTTGTGCAGCAAGGTTAGTTTATAAATTGCAGTACTTTTCAGAGATGTGACAATACATTTTCTTACAGAGCAAAACTTCAACAACAGATACAAACCACAAGGCTTGTCAGGCACTGCAGCAGCAGCTTTGGCCCTACCACTTTCTTCTCCTTCTTCTTCTGGACATTTTTTTGTTTTGCTGTCTGATCTTGAGAAACTGTTGGCTCTCCTGGTTGTCTGCCTCTTCAGCTGGCAAACCTGGAGCAATTATGCTCTGTCTTCCTGGACCAATTGCTATCCCTACCAACCAGTGGCTACTTCTCACAAGCATAAATAAGTATTTGGATAGCAAAGAGAAACCACAAAGACTGTAGCTACAACCAACCAGATGCAGAAGGGACACCAGAAGACAGGAGAAATGTGTGTACATCTCATTTTTATATCCATTTATGCAATATATAACAGCCTTTTAATTTGGGGCAGACTATTCTGTTATGTGGACTTTCAATTTGTTTGCAAATTAACAAATAGGGTAAAAGCCCCATTTCTAAAACTAAATAAAACAAAATATTTGTAAATCAACAAGATTATATCCTATTTACATTTTTGTTTAATAATTTCATGTCTCTCTTCCTCTCTTTTGTTTTCCTTGTTCTCCCAGCAGCTCCTGCACTACGCTATTCCATCACAAGCTGAAAAGTATTTGAGTTTCACATGCTATTTTGTCATGGTTACTCACACCTGCAGATTGTGGGAACAAGTACGGAATCTGCAGGTGTGGTGGCTGAGCCAGACACCAGAGATATCCTTGGCCTTGTTGGCCGCAAGCCATAGGATAACTGAACAAGAGCTAAGTCAAAAACAAGGTCAATGTTGTGACCAATGGACCTTGCAAGATGAACTTTGTTTCCATATAAGGCTTGGACTCAGTGCTTGCCAGATAGAAAGGTGATAAGAGAAAAGTAGAGGCTTTGTTTTGGAATGGGTATAAAAGGATGTAAAGCATTAAATAAAGTGATTCTGTTGCTGCTTGCGCTTCTCCATGAACTCGGGGTCCGTGCCTTCATTGCCACAGCAGATTTGTCTAGTGACTTTTGTTTACTATAATTGCTTTCAAATCATGAATTTTCAGAAAAAAAGAACTGTTCTTCAGCTAAGATTTCTACAGTTAATCTCCCTATTGCTTTGTGTGCATGAATATATGTACACACAGAGACACACAACACATATATTATTTGCTCTTTTAAATGACATTTAGCTGTTATTGCAGTGCATACTTCAAGAGTAGGCAGTCAACAAGTAGATCAATATGAGGCTCTCTAACTCTTTAACAAATAAAGTATAGCATGTGTGCTTGAATACCTTATATCTTAACTAAATTTTCTTTCAGGGTCAGCAGATAGAAACCCTGTTTCTGTAAATGTCTTGGCATATCTTTATGGATACATTTCCCATAAGCAATTTTTATGAGTTTTATCTTCTTGTGTTCTTTGTAAGTTGGAAAAAAAGACCTAACAGAAATAAAACCAGACCTTTCAGAGACAAAACTATAAAATTAATGGGCCTGCATAATCCATTCAAAAAAGAAGTTTAAACATATACAATGTTGTTAATCTATTGGGGAAGAGCACAAATATGAACATTATACCTTCAGATATAATAACTAATTTGGTTATACTTGGACTTAAATCCAGCTAAAAAATAGGGAGATTTCACCCCCCAAAAGATCTGTATCCATGTTTTATTACATCTGTATGTGTTGAAAATACATAGATCTGGGCCTTCATATCTTTTTGGAGATTGGAATAGTTTGAGGGGCTATAAAGTAAATAAGAGGAGATTTCAAGTTTGTTGCTCAAAAAAACTTACCAAAACCATAACTCCATCCCCCAAATCCAGTTGCTTTGATAATGGAGCTGTAACACCTTACCCAAAATAATATAGGCATGATGCATCTCGTTATGTGAAAAGGCCTTTGCCTGGTCTGTGCTCTAGAAATAATGCAGAAGCATGCAATGGGTTTTGAGAGCATTTTAAGCTATTTTATGCCAGAATTACACATATAAAGGAAAAAACTCCTGTCTCTCTAATCCTGGTCTGATGGGGTCAGGAAGAGCATGAGACTGTTCCATGTGACAGCTGTTTCAAACTACCCTTTCCTGAAATATTTGTGGAGTGTTGACGTTACTCTAATAGTGGCACTGACATATGAATTAGTAGTGTCCTGGCCCACATTATTCATCTCAGCAACTGACTTGTGGTGGAATTTGCTCGTCAGCAGATTGTATTTGATGAACTGACTGGTTTATATCCATTGCTATTCTCAAATACATTTTGTTTCCTCCCTGATTTGTTTTCTGTCAAGAGCTAGTAGAAAGTTTTATGCCTTAATATCATTGATACATTTGTGCAAAGATCACTGCTTTGTGTCATGAAGTGGTGGGCTGTTGCCAATGCCACCAGACCTGCAGTGGTCACTGATATGATGATACCAGGATGCCTGAGTTGTCAATCCATGTGTTCACATTGCTCATCTGAGAAAGCACCTGCTCCATCCCCTGTGGCCCCTGTGGCCATGGGAGCATGTCTGGCACTTGTGGTGTGATCAGAAGAACAGGTCTTTTTTTTGTCCTGCTCCAGTGGCAGTTCTTGTACCCAAGGCTGCCAACAGGTACCCCCAGACAGGACAGGCGCTTGACTTGCATACCTTGTTATTCTTTTTCTCATTTCCTGACCTTAATTAATAGAGCAATCTGCTCTATTTACTCTTTTCCCCCCCAATATTCCCAGTTTTGTTGCAACTGGACACAAACTTGGCATTTATGATACTGTTGCCTAGGTAATCTCAGCCCTATGCGCAACTGGCCTTGCAAGACTCTGGTCCCCAAAATATTGCCAGTGCTCCCCTCCAGCTATCTGTCACTGGTACTTCTCCCATAACTCCTCCCTAACCACCTGTGACACCCAGCCATCCCTCATGGCACCCTCTGCAACTTTTTTCAGCTTTTCACACTGTTTTCTGTCATGTCCAGCAGTTTCTTATGCCATGTCTTGTAGTCTTCCATGTCCTTGTCAGTTAGCTGAACGTCTCTTAAACTAGTCTTTCACCTGCAGCCATAACACCTTGAACTATGTGTTATTAGAGAGTTTATGTACTTAAACTTGTATGAACCCAGAGGTGCTGGAGGAACTGCATTTATAGGGTATGAACAGATTGTTTATTAGATAGATAGTTGATAATGTTGCCTATGGTTTCCCAGTGAGCAAACGGTATTTCAAAAGCATCATCACAAATCAAAGGACAGTTTTTCATTATTAGGTAAGTCATAAGGTGGCACCTTCTTGAACTTCTTTTCCAACTAAGTGTTAGAGCAAAGCCTCTAAGACTTTACAGCCTCGTTGGTACCTCTTTTCCTAAGAGATTGCAATGGGAAGCATACTGGGAAGTACAGGTTACTGAGTGCCATAGGTTTAGGCATTTTCAAGGGCATGGGGCAGAAAACCACCTCCAAGCTGCAGGAGGTGGCTAGAAGCATGTCCAGCTGGTTGACAGATCCCTGCCTTGGGAAGCATCAGTGATAGCCAGCTGGAAAGCAACAGAAATATGGGAAGAGGGCCTGAAATTCAAGTGTCTCTCTGAACATGTGGCAATTATACACACTCTTAAAAAAAACTGATTGGATTGCTGCAATCAAATGTGACAACTGGGTAACCTTCACCAACTCTTATTATCCTTCAGAAAACAGAACTGTCTTTTACTACCATCATTTATATTTTGACAAAAGTGATTCACTGTTACGAAAACAGCATGGCAACTTAAAGTAGAGTGTAAGAAATGGTGATTTTTGAAACCATGCTAGAAGTACAGTGCTCAGAAACATTTTATTTTCTCTATTATCAGGCATCGCACTGATGCCTTTTCCTTTCAGTACAATGCATATAACTTGTTCGCTTTGGTTAAAAGTGAAAGAACTCCAGTGTTTATTATCCTTAGCAGTAGGCAGAAATATGTCTCAATGAATTTTTTTATAAATCTGAACTGTAATATAATATCTAATGAAGATGCTGCACTTCGCAAGAAGCAACTACTGCACAAAGCGTTCAGAGTCCTTGCAAATTATGATCCCTAGAAAAGTCTAATTCTGATTAATTCTCTCCCTCACATTGATCAGGATGTCAGAAGAGGTGAAAAAACCTGGATGTGAAATCACTCATTAATATGAAAACATGGCAAAATCCAATGTTTCAGTTTAGGAATAAAATTGATATAGAGATATCTGATTAAAGAATTTTCAGAAGAAAAAGGAGGTTTATAGAATCATAGAATCATAGAATGTTTTGGGTTGGAAGGAAGCCCTAGAGGTCATCTAGTCCAACCCCCATGCAGGAGCAGGGACACCGCTAACTAGATCAGGTTGCTCAGAGCCCCATCCAACCTGGTCTTGAATGTTCCCAGGGATGGGGCCTCCACTACCTCTCTGGGCAACCTGTTCCAGTGTTTCACCACCCTTATTGTAAAGAACTTCTTCCTTATATCTAGTCTAAACCTACCCTGCTTCAGTTTAAAACCATTACCCCTTGTCCTGACACAGCTGGCCCTACTAAAAAGATTTTCCCCATCTTTCCTATAGGCCCCCTTTAGGTATTGAAAGGCCATAATCAGGTCTCCCCACAGCCTTCTCTCCTCCAGGCTGAACAAGCCCAACTCTCTCAGCCTGTCCTCATAGGAGAGGTGCTCCAGCCCTCGGATC